CACCAAGGCCCTCCCCGCCTTCCCCAAGTTCACCCTGCCCAACATCACCAAGCCCCAGCTGCCCAAGCTGCCCACCCTCCCCAAGCCCGACTTCAAGATCCCCACCTTCGCCCTGCCCAACATCACCAAGCCCGAGCTCCCCAAGATCCCCACCGTGAGCATCGGCACCAAGTCGATCGACGTGCCGACCGTGTCCCTGCCCACCGTGGGCACCAAGGACGTGACCATCCCCAAGGTCAACATCACCGCCAAGGTGCCGTCCGTGGGCCTCCCCACCATCGGCACCAAGAAGGTGGACGTGCCCACCGTCAAGATCGGCAGCCGCAAGATGGCGCTCTGAGCGGGCGGCTGAGAGCGGCGCAGGGGAAGCGCCGGCCCCGAGCCGCGCGCGGGTGGGCCCGTGCCGCGGCCGTGCGCATCTGCAGCCGATAGTCTGTGCGCGAGCGCGGCGCTGCGTTTGTGCGATGGGCCATTGCTGCCCCTTGCGCCGCTTGTGAGAAACTTAGCGAGAACTTCCACATCTCTGTGTTGCCTTTCTTGCTTGCCTGGGCTGATGAGCACACAACTTTCATGCAAGCGCCATGCTCCCCGCTTCACAAGGGCGCCCCACCCAGGGGCCCCAGCGGTTGCATGCGTCTCCTGAAGTCTGCTGTGCCCTACCCAGTCTTGTGGTGCAGGGTGATTCGACCGATTTAGCTCTGTAGGCGGGATCCGGTGCGCCACACGCGCGGGTCTGACCCGGCCGATTGGTCACGTCCATTCATCTGCTGGCAACATCTATTTGATTCGCCACGCGGCAAACCAAACGCCACGCACCGCGCGATTGGATCTGGCTTGCGGCTTGCACCTGCGCCCAACAAACTCGTGGTGTGTGATGTCTGGTGTTCCGGCACAACCTTTGCAGCGGCCTCTGTGGGTCGTGGTGCAGCGGCCCCTGTGGGCTGCAATGTGACCCACTCTTCAACACGTCGCACACCCCTCCGACGGCCAAGCTGTCTGCTGCCGCTCACGCTGAAACCTTCAACCGCCTGTGACTGTCGGCGGCCGTGAAAACGCCGATCACCAGTGGTCATTTGCGCGAGCGCATCTAGCAAGGAGGGGCGCCGAAAGTGAGTGTGGGAGGCCCCTCCCACCCCGGCCGTGCACCCATTATGTTCCGACACATGTGTGTGCCCATTCATTGTGCAGGGCGAGCCCCACTTGCGCTCGCCGCACCCTCCCGCAGATGACGTGACACAAATCATGACACACGCACTGTCTCTTAAACCAGCACTCATGTAAGCATCGGAACAGCAATGATTCGCATGGAAACCATTATCTGAGGGGTGGGTGGTCAAGCCGAGGATGCCTCATGCAGGGAATGGAACTGTTGTTCCTCGGCGTGCTGGTGCCGTTTCCGGCAGAAGGGAAGCTACCCGTGTGGGCCATACTGCTCCACATTGTGCTGGGGCTGTTGCAAACTGCAGCAGGGAAGCTGTTGGTGTCAATCCCAGGCTCCTGATGTAGTTGGAGTCACGGTGCTGCGCGAGTGCAATGTGAGATTTGAGACAGGCTCGTGCGTATGACACCAAGAAGCATACAAGCTCTATTACAGGCATTCGCTTGGTATCTGAGCATTTATCACGGGTAAAAGTACGAGCTCTCAGATCGCGTTGACTCAGGGACGCGGGCCCTCCTGATATTCACCGCGTCAGCCGGCCTCATCGGCATGGCTGAATAGGTGAATAAGATACTAGGGACTCGCCACTACGGCCTGGTAGAAACGTCGGGCATGAGCAACGCCCGCGCCGGTGGGCAGCAGAGAAAAATGGCAACTGGCGACATCAAGGGCGCGGTGGCCAGCTTGCAGCGCGCCCTGAAACACATCAGATATCCAGGAGCCGTGGACGAGGTTGGGTGAGTGCAACGGCTGCTCATCCGCGTCCGGGACTGCCCATTACTCCCTGTCGCGCCAACCCGCTGCACGCCGCGCCAACCTGATGGCCGATGCCCGGCGGCGCGCACGCTCCGCCTGGGCGACCCTCAGGCCTCGCTGCCTCTGCTGCATCACGCCTTGATCAAATTCTCGCGCCATGTGCGCGAGCGCGCGCTTGCATGCGGCCTTGAGGTGAGGGCGCATGCGCCGTGTGGGCATAATTGTGGGGCGGGCAGCGGGTCCACTTTGTCCGCATGGCCGCGTGCGTGAGCTTGCGCGCGTGGGCGGGCGTACTGCGCGTGCGCATGCAAGGCCGCATGCAGCCAATAACACCTTGCAAACGGGACAAACGCCAGCCTGGGATCACCCAGCATCAGCCAACGCCGTGGTCGCGCAGCCGCAGGACTGCGCAGACAGCGGCTTCGCGGCGCAAGCACTGAGGGCGGCGAGCGCAGGCCTCGGCGTCCGTTCTGCGCTGACGGCAGTGCAGCTCGCCACCAAGGTGTGCTCAAGCACGCGCGGCGTCAAGGAGGGGGCGCGGCAGTGCGCGCTGCACGAGAATGCAGAGTAGCACGCGCTGCCGCCATCACGAGGTTGTCGCAGCATCATTTCGTTGGCGTGGCAGCAGCCCCCCAAGGACCAGCTGCCACGCCCTCACAATCACGCCTGCATGGTGGCTGCCGCCGCACTACTGACGCACTCAAATGACCGCTGTCCAGGGGTTTGCAGAGCGAAAAGTCCTGCTGCTGTGCGAAGTGATTGCGGCTTGCCGGGCGATGCACGCAAAGGGCGCCGCAGCCGCGCGTCGCCAAAAGGCGCAAGCCGCCCGCCCCGTGAGCAGCCTGCAGGCACACGCACGCGCACCCGCCCTTGCCATGCGGGCGCCAAGACAGCGTGCCGCCGTGCCGGGTGCATGCATGCAAGCAATCATGCGTGCGTGCATGCGTGCAAGCGTGCATGCGTGCAAGCGTGCATGCGTGCATGCCAGCCCTGCCGCAGGCAGTTCTGGCAAGTCCATGCGTGCGCCACGATGGCACTGCTGCCGTCATGGCGCCCGATGCAAGCAGCCACGCGCGCCCTCCGCACCGCACACCTCCGCCTTGCAGAGCGCGCAGCAGCTGGCCCGCGTGCCCATGCCGCAGCAAATCCGCATCGAGCTCGCCGGCCGCGAGGTTGCAGACGTGCTGCGCAGACGGCCGCTGCGGACCGCGACCGACGGCGCGCAGTCTAAATACGTGGTAGAGCGGCGCGTGGAGGCTTCACAGCGGCCGCGGCTGGCGGCCGGCCCAGCCATCGGCCCGGCCGGCACGGCCGGTGCGGCAGCGCTCGCGGCGGTTCAGGCGGCCGTGCAGCGGGCCGCTGCAGGCGCGCAGACAGCAGGGGCGCTGCTTGCGCCGGCTGACTGGGACGAGGGAGGGACTCATGAGAAGTGGGCCAGAGCTGGGGAGCAGGGACAGCTCAAAGGGGGCCCCATGCGCGAGCTGCGTTTGCCCGTATCTCAGCAGCAGCCGGGCGCGCTCAGCGGGGTTGGGGGGTGGCACCGCAGCTTGAGCTCGGCACGAGCCTCTAGGCTGCCGGCGGGGGACGACTGGCAGAACGCGCCGCCCACGCCCACGCAGCCCGTCAAGCCACTGGGCCGCTGGGATGTCGCAGCATGCGCAGGCACCAACCCAACTGGCCCGATGGACTGCGCAGCTGCAGCACAGCAGCTGATGTCGAAGGAGCGTGCCAAGGACTACATTTTGCAGCCGTATGTCGGTTTGGATGATTTGGGGTGGGGCGGTGCTGCCCAGGAAAGCCAACTGGCCCCGGGCCCCCAGCAGCAGCAGGACCACAACTTCCTACAGCAGCAGCAGCAGCAGCAGCAGCAGCAGCAGGGTGCCGGCCTGCCACATGCGCCTGAAGAGGCAAGGTTCTTCAATGTGGCAGATTCTGCGATCACCGCAAGCTTGCAGCCCCTGGCGACCCTCGTGCCAGACCTGCTTGAGCACCTGCAAGAAGCTCACACGCAGCTGGTGGCCGACAAGTAAGGGGGGCAGAGGCAGTGTCGTGCAAAATCGATGATTTTTGCATGGCTAGCATGTTCAGGGGTGCCACTACACGCACCTGTGCCGACACAACCTGTGCCATGCTTTCCGCGTTTGTGCAGCTGCTCTGATTGGGTCGCAGCCACACCACACGCTTGCCGCACCGCCAGCTGGGCACAAATTCTGCAAACGCATCGCCGTCTCTGCTCAGGGCGACGGCGACCCGTGGAGAGCGCGAGCTGCAGGCCCGCATCACGCTTTTGGAGGCTCGCCTGCTGGCCGCAGAAAGCTACCTCACCAGCTGCCCGGCAGCTGTCCCCGCCGTCCCCGTGCCGCCGCCAGGGGCGGCCCCCGCGCCGCAGCTTTTGAAACTATGGGGCTGCAAAGAGCAGCAGGCAGCTCGCTGGTCCACAGATGCAGGCATTCAGCTGCTGCAGGACTGCCGGCGGCCTTGCTCCTTCGACCTACGTACCCTCGGGCCACACGGTGCAGCCCCACGGTGGGCAGTTGGTGCGGGCAGGGGCGGGGAGCGGGGTGAGTCGCCAAGGCTCGAGTGACAGCAGCCGGGCAGCAACGATCCGCGCTGCGCCCCGAAAAGCGCCAAACAGCAGGCTGGCCGCATCGCTGAGTTTCAGTGCACCGCCGCCGCCACTATTGCCGCCGCCGATGCCACAGCAGCAGCAGCAGCAGCAGCAGCAGCAGCAGCAGCAGCAGCAGCAGCAGCAGCAGCAGCAGCAGCAGCAGCAGCAGCAGCAGCAGCGTCAGCTGCAGGAGCTGCGAAGATGTGGCAGCGCCGAGGAGCTGGTGCGCAAGCTGGCAGTGCGGCAGGCAGCGGCCAGGGCGCTGCTTGACCAGGCGCAGGCGCAGCGGCGCGCGCGGCAGACGAGAGAGCAGCTCGCATAGGACACTGCACGTCTGTAATGCAGCAGCGTTATTACTGATATGAATTTCAGTTCTGCCAGCGAGGAGGGATCCGGGTGTCGAATGGTGCACACGAAAGGTGTACTGTACAAAGAATAAATCAATTGGTCAACACTCAAGCAGGTGCTGACTGGCACATGCGGGAAGCTTCCGCTGGCAACGCACAAAGCAAATGATACATGTTCAATGCTGACTCCCGCCAGCAGGATTGCAAACATTCGCCAGAAGCCAGGCTGCAATGGCAGCCGTTATCAAGTCAAAAGCCCCATCGCAGACCAAGCACAAGCCCTGGCAAGCGCCGCGCAATACCGACTCAACCCAAGCTTGCCTGCCCCAAACGCTTGTAGCTAAGCCATCCTCCAAGGGGCTGCCTCAGGCATTCCGCAATGCCAACGGGCAGGACGCCACGCCAACCCCTAGCCTGCCTTTCAGGGCGCCGCCGTGCACCCGCCGCCACCAAACTCGCCCTCCTGCCCCGCCCTCCGACGGCCACGGCAGCAGCATCTGCTGTGAGCAGTCGCGGCCGTTTCCAGGCCGGAGTTGTGGCGCTCTGTGCGGCCCGCACCAGCACTCTGAGCAGATACGCACTACTCCTGCTGCCGGCCTTTCAGCAACAGAGGGGCCTCTTCGTCAGCGGCTGCACGGTCATCACCAACTGCAGCCCCGTCCGGCTCCGACTGTCGGCCGCCTGCGCCGGCCGCGCCGCCGCCAGGCGCGGCAGCCGCAATCGCCTCGTGCTGCCTCCGCGGCAGCCCGTCTGCGCCCGTGCCCGGCGCCGCGGGGACGGCTGCGCTGCTGCCGCCGCTGCCGCCGCCTTTGCCTCGCATCGTTGTCAGCAGCACGCCGCCTAGGATGATCATGCTCCCGATGATCGATGTCAAGGTGAGCTCCTCCCCAAAGATCAGGGTCCCAAGGATATGCCCTGGCGGGTTGCCGGGCGAGAGGTGTCAGGGCAGCGGCCAGTGGGCTGCGTGGGACGGGCCGCCGGCACGGCCCCAGGCAGCCGGGAGCGGCGGGCGCGAGCAGCCACGACCTGGCTGGAACGAACAGTGCTAATACCCGTCTCAAGTTCATCCTCCGTGTCAAGAGGGACGCGGCCAGGGCCGCCGCCTCCAACCGTGGCCGCCGATATGGCACCTGCAGCATGCAACTCTTGCAGTCACAGATAGAGGTGTCCGCGCCGCCTCACACCCCCAGGAGGCGCCCGCGCCTACCACTGGGGCCCGCGCACCATAAATGACAGTGGTGAATGACATGGCAGAGGCCTTGGCCGCCTCCATGAGCTGGAACGAGCGCGTCAGCAGCAGCTGCCCCGCGAATGACGTCAGCGCGATGGCCACCAGCAGGGCGGCCTCGCGGCCGGTGGGCATGACAGCTGGCGTCGGCCAGGACAGCAGGAGCGGCGGGGCGGAGAGCGCAAGGGTGCAGGAGTGGAACGCCAGCGCAACCTGCGACAGGGTGCGGGGATCAAGCAGGGTTTAGGGTTTGATGTCCAAGGTTTTGGAGGGCTCAACGGAGCCCGCTTCAGGGGGGACGGGCGGGCGCTCGGCGGCTGTTTCACGCAGGAGCAAATCGTACTGTCCCGCGCCTGCAGGCGGCCGACCGCGCAGCCGCCCGCTCGCCCACCGTGAGCGCGGCTTCGCTTTTGCCGATGCGCCGGATCGAGAGCGCCACCCCCGCCGAAAACACGCATGACGCGATCGCCGCGGCCGTCCCCGTCGCGCGCGCGGCGCCCCACTCCGTGCCCCCGGCGTCCCCGAACAGGAACGGCGGGCGCACGAGCACCGTCACGCCCGCCAGGGACACGGCCAGGCCGGCGGCGCCGGCGGGGCCTAGGGGTTCCCCCAGCAGCGTCCAGGCCGCGAGTGCGACGACGCAGGGCTTGAGCATGTTGATGCCGGCCGCATCGCCCAGGGGCAGCAGCGAGACTGCCGTGTAATTGGTAGCTACGGAGAAGCTGCCGCAGACGCCGCGCAATATCAGGTAGCCGGCGTTGCGGGGGTGGCCCCACAGCGGCCGCACGCGCGTGGCGGCGCCCACGGTGAGGGAGCAGGCCCAGGCTAGCGCAGACCTGCGCGAGCCATTTGCGAGTAAATTTTGCAGTCGGTGCTCACTCACACCTCGACCCCTGTGCATCTCAGCCCATGCGCCTAGCATTTCCAAGGCTTGTACGCAGGGGCGCAAAAGGTTTAAGCTTTAGGGACATGCACCAATCGGCTCCGTCGGGGCTGCTGCGCTGGCCGCGCAGGCCGCGCTCTCAGGCCCAAGGCGCGGCCACGTGGGGCGTGCTGGAATGCCCCGTGGGCAGGCGCAGGTTAGCCAGGGCCCCGCCACCTGGCAAGGCAGATCTCGATAATGGGTATGCGGCCGCGCAGCAGCTTGACGCATGCGCCGCTGAAGGGGAACATGAAGCACGCCACCGCGCCCACGGCGACGCCCGACGACCAAACGAGCCTGAGCGGCGTCGGCGAGGCCGCGCGACGTCAGCTAGAGAGCGGGGTTGCGGCGGCGCTGCATCACGGATGCAAAGGTATGTATGATTTCTGGTGCACCAAGTATAGATGTATCCGAGTGGCCCGAAACGCTGTGGCTTGCTCCTGTGCCCACAGCGACCAACTGCAGCATGCGCTCGCACCCTTGCGCATGGTAAGCGGCGTCCCGGACGGCCGCTAGCCCCATGGTGATTTCAATACATGCTATGGCTACCGATGCGCTGCGCAGAGAGGCCAACAGCGAGATGGTGCGTCGGATCAATTAGACAAACTGGTCACCGAGCTGTCGAGTGACAGAGGCGAGATGGTTGTGATGATGGCTTTATGTTTGAGAAGACAGTCGCTCAATCACGTGGGGCTGAGCGCGCGCGCTGCGCTGCGTTACAGTGCTGGAGTCACGGCGACATTAGAGTGATCTGGAAAGGAAGGCCTCGGACGGCTCTGTTTGTGCGCATTCATCTTAGCAACCACAACCTCATGCCTACAGCTGCGAATCACATCGCTGCGGCGGCACCCGCGACCGCCGGTCCTTGGGCTTCGATCGCGGGCGCGAGCGCAGTGAGTGAGGTGTCCAGGACTGCCGCCAAGGCAGCAAGCTGCTCCACGGCGCTGCCAGCCTTCGTCTCATTCGCGGCAGCTTTACTGCTGATCGCCTTTGGCGCCGTGTTGGGCGCCGCCCTCGAGACGAGGGGCAGGGTGGTGCTGCGACTCGCAGCAGCGGCGCTGAGCGGGCCGGCAACCGCGCCGGACGCGGCCTCGTTTGCCCTCGTGGCGCGCAAGCTGGGCCTGGCGGGCGCCGCGGCCCTGCTGTGGTCGTCGCTGGTGCTGCGGGTGCGTGCGCGCGCCACGTGCGGGCGGGCGCCTCCTTTTGACGACGTAATCCAAATCAGCCGCCCCATCCACGCCCAACCCCCCGCCGGCTCCGCCCCGCGTTGGCCGCGCCCAGCCGCTGCCGAACCCGCCGCCCCTTCGCACGCTTCTGAATTCGATCGCAGGTGCCGATGCGCACCCAGATCTGGCTGTGCGGCGCGGAGGCCCTTCTTTTGATGACAGCCATCCAGAGCTGCACCCCGGCGGGAGCCGCTGGCCCCCACGCCGTTCTTCCCTGCGCGCCGCTCGGCCCCTGGGCGGCAGCCTGGCGGGCCGCGCTCGCCGCCGCCTGCACGTGCGCCGCGGCGGTGTGCGCGCGGCGCGCGCTCGGCCGCCTGGCGGCCGCCGTCCGCGCCGCGCGCGCC